TTTTTTTTTTTTTTTAGTTTTAGAAAGAGAGGAGAGGAATTAGAACACCGAAAAGGAGTTTAATGCTGTCTGTGCCCCCGTTACAGAGATACATCCTCTCAATTTGTCCTGCTTACCATTATCACTGAAAGGCCAAGTAAAAGAAAATCCCAAATGTTGGGTTGTCCCCAGAAAAGTAATAGAGGGAAGTCTTCCAACCTGACCTGTGGGCGTGGGGGGAGGGATTCCCTTAAATTTGAAGGATTTCTTCTCACTTCCTGTGTTGGCTATGGGACAGTGAAGTGAAGGTAAATCTCCCCAATGGGACACACATGGCAAAAAAACACACAGGGGTTATAAAGTATAACTAAAGGCAGAGTGGAGAGGGATTGGAGGTAGAATATCCTAAATAACTTATCGTGAGGCTACTAAATCCTAATATCTTACCATAGTCACTGCAATTCTTTAAAAAAAAGTATCGATGCCCAGCTTGTGTTTTTTCTTTTTTGTTGTTGGTAGAGCCTAGTACCTCTACCAGTTTTGATTACAGTTAGTTTCCCCACTGTGGAGATTTGCCCTCACTTCCTGTCCCAGTGACAGCCTGTCACAAGTTGCCACCAGGACAGGAAGTGACCTGACAGAAGGTTGTCATGCTTCTATACTCTACTAAAAAGAGCTGGAGTTATTTATTCTTGTGCCTTCATATGTTAGACATCCCCTCACTACCTGTATGGATGACAGGACAAAAGAAGAGAGGAAAATCTCCCCAAAAAGGACAGAGACAGCATCAAAATCTGACAGATGTTCTAACTTTCACCTCTGTACTCTATGGCTGGTGTTAGGCTCTTGTCCTGTACAGAGGTTAAGTACAATGGCATAAAAAAATGCAAAGTGCCTTAATGCTCTGCCTTCTTTCTCTATATTGATGAATGTAACAATTACTTATATATTTATTTCATATAATAGACTATATTGTGGTATCCTACATTATTTCATAGTATGTCATTAGAGAATACTATGGGATATTTTACTATTAAAGAACTATTAAAATGGGCAGAATTCTCAACATGTTTCAACAACATGCATGCAAAGACCATATAATAATCAACATGTAAGATGCATGCAGTATATTATAGCTAGAAAAAGAAAGCAATGTTAATCATTCAGAAAAGTGCAACCAGAGTATAAAACAAGGCAAGATGATTTATTCATCAGGTTGCCTGTATTCAACAGTCCAAATTATTTCTCTAACACAAAAAACATAAAATGCATAGTCTTCAAAATATACTCTAAAATATTGATTCAAATTTAGAATAGTCAATTGCATTTAAAAAAATATTATACTATATTTTCCTATATTTGATCTGGTTGCACATCTGATAATACAAATATTCCCACATACACATGATTAAAAAACATAAAAAGCCATTACATGGACAACATAACCAGCATAAAATGGTCACTTTAACTTGAACAAATTTGCATCATTTTTGTAACAAACGTGTTACATTCTCTTTTAAGTCTTTATGCATGATCCAGATATTTGGGTTGTTCTAAGTGTAACAAAGTTTGTAACAGTTTATTTCTCCATTCAGGAGAAGTAATTGATTATTAGCAAAATAAACCCAGAGCTACATAGTTGACCGTTTATTGATTTCAAATGAGGTGGCTGGCAGCAAGGTCTTAAAACTAAACTCCAGGCACACAGCTAAATACAAAGTTAAAATACATAACTATTTTCTATTATATCTGACAAAATATCTGAAATACTGTTCAGCCAGTCTTGCCATGCAGGCTTTCCTGACAAACAGCCAAGCCAGATCCTAGAAACCACTGCAAATGACTGCAATTAAGCAATACAGCCTGGTCCAGAACCCACACCATCCCATGGCTGGACAATAAAGGAACAGTATTACACTCATTAAGTCAAATCTCTGCTCTATCCCTCTATCCTCCTCTTCCCTTAATCTGAAAGCATGAAGAGGTTTAGAGGAGTCTGATATTGATATAGATGCAGGTACTTAGGTTAGTTCTGCATAAACGTGCCTCTAATACGTTTTTAAACTATCCATCACTGAATAAACTGTGCTTTAACATTCTTGGAGTTCAGATTTAATTGCTTATTCAACTTTGTAGCCCCAGCCTTCAGGAAAGGTGAATGCTTTTTAGTGATGAAATGTATTTTGTTTCATTTTAAAATAGGTACAGCATTACTAAGTGGCTAAATACTTTAAGTAAATGGCCCCAATAAGGAATAATGCATTTACATTGTGTCTATGTGTCCTGGTAACTGCTGTCACTAAGACAGAAAGTAAGCAGAGTTGTCACTAAAGCAAGAAGTGAGGGTAAATCCTCCAGTGAGAACCCTTGTTTCTATGTCAGCTTTCTAATATAGGAATTCCTTTACTTGCACCTCTAGAAAAGAAAGTGAAGGAAAATCTCTCCAGCGTGACACAGACAGCAAACATTATCCTATGTCTACTCTACCCAAAACTAAAAAATAGCTTTAGATACACAGAAATGGGCAGATAGCCTATTAGATAGCAATCTTTTGAACTGGCCTTTATTGGGTGAAGATCCATTGTTGATGGAAAAGTACTCAACAGCCTCAAACTAGCAGTCTTGAGGAACAAAGAAATTGGGCAAGTTACAAAACCATGTTGGATTGCAATTATTTTATTTGGACTATCTGCATGCAGTCCTCCCCCCACCTCTCTCCCACACTGCCCTGAAAAAAAAAAACCCACCCACTTGTGACTGGCTTTCTTTTGTTTTGTGAAGAAACTGGCCTAAGAGACATTGAATTGATCAAGATTGGAGATGACAGAATCTGGAACAGTTGTGTAAGGCAACCAATCAGCTTCTATCGCTCATTTTCAAATCTTAACTGAACAAGCTAAAGATGGAAGCTCATTGGTTGCCATGCACAGCTGCTCCAGAATCTGGCTGCTCCACTTTTTATAAATTTCTCCCATTGTGAGATTGTTGGCTGATCCATATACAGGTATGTCTAAATATTATGTAACATAATAGCCAGCTTAACTTTTAACATGATTGTAATATTATAATCATATGAGCTTTGGTTTTCTATGTAGACACAAAAACCCAGAAGTACATTTCACTAATCATCTAGCTAAAGATGCTACTTGGATAAGTAGTGAAATGTCCTTCAACCAGGGGCGGACTGACCATTTGGAAACTCGGGGTCAGTAGGGGGCCCCATGAGATGCCCCTGGTACCTTTTTCATAGGCTTTTTTGAGTTTAGGCAAGGACACAGGGGCCCCATGATCCCCTATTGCCCGGGGGCCCCATGAGTTGTCAGTCCGCCCCTGCCTTCAACATTACAAAACAAGTTAGTGACACTAGTAATGCAAATGATTTCTATTTATTTTTACTTTAAAGCCAAAATCGAACCTCTATCAATCAATAATCACAGACTAAAGTAAAAATTACCCCAAACTGTGAAACACCCATTGCACTGTATTTTATATTCCTTTACTAAAAAACTGTTTTCTAAAAATTCCTCTTATTAATTGGGAAAAAAATGTATTCAAATTTTTTTCCTTTGCCCTTCATATTTTTAACTCTTAATGCTGTAAAAGTGAAATTGTTCAAGTGATATAAAATGCATACCCATGGCTATTTAAAAAATGTACAATAAATGTACAAAAAACATCTGGTTCATACACAGTGACTTATTCATTATATCTGCTGTTTTTGTTTAATAGAGTAAGGTTAGTTGCCAGTTAAAGTAAGCACAACCCTTAGGTTTTAACATTGCAAAAGCTGTATATTAATTTTATCTTGAATTCGCTGCCAGCTAGAAAATGTTTAACATGTTGGCATTTTCTAGTTAGTAGAATTGTAGTTTGCACACATATGGCCAAGGCATTATTTGTAGACATGCTTCAGTGGTGAGGCATTTAAACAGAACCAATGTTAGGAAATAAAACAATACACTTTCTATTCCTTTGTCACTTTTACATTTTTGCTTACATTTGTGGTTTTGGTATTTAAGGGAAAATAACTGGACGGTCAAATAATTCTATTATAGTTTAGATAATTTAGAACATAATGCCTTGGAAATATATGGAGACAGACTGCACAGAAAGAGCCTTAAAGACATATAAACATAGTATTTTCCACAGAGCAATAAGGCACATGGTATAGACCCATCTGGACACAAACAGATGCTGCACTTTAGGTTAGGGGATGTAGAAGCTATGAATAATTTACATTGTAATCTTTATTCCATTTCAGCTAAAGAAATAAAGATCACAGAGACATCATAGAGCAATGCTATGTAGTTCTCCAATAGAATTACTGGGCATATTCATCTTTAAAACCAATGCGAATTTTCATTTTCTTTAGTCTAGAGATTGTTGGGTATGCTTTAAATGTGTCAGGATGCATAGATCCAATAATTGTATTTCTTCAATTAGTATTTCACTATCCTCTTATTGTGATGATGCACATATTGATCTCAACCGTTGCGGTCAAACTAAAAAAAACATACGTTTTATCTGTTTCTGAAGCCAATCTATTTGTAGTTTTGTTTTGTTGCTGTTGTTACTTTTGTCATGTAACTCTAAAAACCCAACAATTTCCAGTTTTACCATAGTATACTTGAAGATCAGCATAGATAGATAAGAGAGTTTAGAAAACTTTACCTCACTCTGATATCCAAGGAATAACTTTGGGGGCCTCTATTACTCTGTCTACCAAAGGCACGTGCAAAGAGTTCTGTGCATACAGCCTCGGTGTAGGATTGCCACCTGCATCTTGGTCACTCAGGATGATCCAGCCATAGCAGGCTCTTTACACAAGGTCAGGACTTCGGACAATGTGAAGTTTAAAGAATGAGTGTTATCCTTTAAACCTCCTGACTTGGTATAAAAAACACTGCTGGCCGATCTGATATGAGAAACAAGGAACAGGTGATAAACCTGTCTGAAATATCCAAGCAAGAATTATTAAGAGAAAAAAAGAAATAGAGTGCTCCTAAAGCAGAGTTCCTTACAAGCAGGGTTTCTTGTAGTAAAGGGATTCTCCTTACTGTCATCTAAAAAGTCTTCTTCCTCATCCTCTTTTCTCAGCCTTCTCTTGGTTTCTTCATCATAGATAAGGCCTAGCAGATTGGCTGGACTTTCACTTTCGCTGTGACAAACCTCATTAAGACGGGCACCTATTACCTGAAATAACATTAATATTATGTATGTAGTAGTTTGAAGGCCAGGAGCCTACTAGTTAGAAAACATTTTCACTTTCTTTTGATTAACTGCACTGCCATCCATCACCGGAAAATAAACAGCATTTGATGACTGGCACATAGGTATAATGTATGCTCTTTGTATCCTGAAATAAAAAAGAAAGCATGGCATGGGTTGCCCTTTCCTCTTCATCATCACATGGAGCAGATGTAATGCCATCACCTAGGCGATATCATTAAATGATCATACCATCAAGTATAGTGCAATTGCTGATTAGATCTATAGGCCGTCACTAATATTTAGTAATTATTTTCCTCTGTCACCATGAAGCTATTGAGTCTACCAGAAGTATAGGCCTTGTTGTTTGTGCAAACCCTGGGACTCCTCTTTCTTGGTAACTGAAACCTCATATTTCAGTTCTACAGCCATTGATTAGTTTATGAATTCCATAATGGCTCATTTGTAAAATGACTACACCATACCAGCTTTAGGAGTCTGTAGAGCTCAACTATTAAGTGCACTTACATCTCCCCACTGGTAGAACAGCTTGGCTGCATTCCATTGCAGCTTCTGATTACGTTTGTTTCCCACTATAGGAGATCGACCACGAGAAAGGCCTTTTTTGGCAATGTTAACATGATGTCCTTTCATCCATTCTGGCCAGTTTCCACGATTACACCGGTGCACAAAGCGTGCACACTCCAGGAAGAGAGCAGCTCTTGCCACCACAGGAGCCTCCTAACATACAGAGAGAAAAAAGCATGATATAAAAATCTGTGAACAACAGGAAAGGCTGTGGAATTTGAACTTTTGATATATACTGTAAATTACATAATTTATGGACCTGTAATTCTTAAATGTAAGTAAGCCAAAACTTGATATCTTAACATTTAATTAAAAACAGACAACCCTGTAAACTGTATAACCTTCTCTTTGAATTAATTTGGCCGTTGTTGCTAAACAGAATGGTGCTTTGGCAAAGAAGAATTAAGTAAGTTTTTTCAGAGGTTAACTTAGGTTAGAGTTAAGTACAGGGACTGGGTTAGACTTAGAAATTTGGAGTTAAGGTTACAGTTTAAGGCATGAAGTACTGCACTAAATTTTAGGATGAAAGTAAGATGGTAAGGGTTAAGGTACGAATGAGGTAATAGTTTAGAGTCGAAAGATGGGGTTCAGGGTTAGATTAGGGTTTACATTTTAGGTGGTTTGAAAAGTATTAGGGGTTAATCAAGGGTATCCTTTAGCTGGTCTCCTACCCACAGTGACCACAAGTGTAAAATTACAGTATATTTTTTACTGTATTTTATTACTATTATTATCATTATTTTTTTTTTTTTGCTTTATTTAATGAGTAATGCTGATCTAGGGTTTGAGATAAGTTTAAGTGGTTGAGTAAGAAGAGAGTTAAATGTTAGGGTGAACCTGAGGATCAGCTTATGATTTGGAGTCACACCTTACATGCGGAAGAGATTGTCAGGTACCAAGATCTCAGCGTCAACCACCATGCTAGGACATCAACAAAAATATATTTTCTCTTCAGATGAGTTGTAATAATTATGAGAAGGTCTAAGTGTTAGATTTTTGTTAGTTGAACATCACAAAGCAAGCAGAAAGAATTACATTAGCCATTGATGCAACAGCTACAAGGCTGTATGGTTAGGAGGATCAGGGGCGGACTGACCATTTGGAAACCCGGCCACTGCCCGAGGGCCCGGGGTCAGTAGAGGGCCCCATGAGATGCCCCTGGTAGCTTTTTCATAGGCTTTTTTGAGTTTGGGCAAGGACACAGGGGCCCCATGATCCCCTATTGCCCGGGGGCCCCATGAGTTGTCAGTCTGCCCCTGAGGAAGATATAGTGTAATTAGAAACTATATAAGATAAGGCCTGCAAGAAATAAAACAGTCTGGTGGGTAAAGTAACATGTTAAAATCTCCCTAAAATGAAATATTAGTTTTAGATGTTCTGATAAAGTTAAATCATAGCAAATAAAAACTTGGTTTTAAGCAATTTTTACTCATATAAAGATAATATTCAAACAATGCAAATATTTAAATATTCATCAGTTTAAAAATAACTTACATGTTGTATAAGGCAGTTATGGGTGTTGAACGAATTGATTATAGGTGCCATAACTGCAATACAGTATATTTGCTATAAAGTATGTAGTACCCATATATAAAAATAATTTGCTTGCAGCTCCTGAAATTATCTATTATATTTATCTTACCTGCCATCTGTAGAAGAGGCAATACATATATGAAGGTATGAGGAGTGAATGGATATAAATGGAATCACAGAACACAGACACAAATCACAAATGGAGAGGAATGAACCAGACGATGCAAAGCTGAAAATAACCACAAATTGCTACAATCAACAATGAAAACAAGCTGGATGGCATACAAATCTGAGCATAAAAGGGTCCATTTATCACTTTACATATCATAACAAGTAAAGATGTTTAGTTAAAGCTTGATTTTAAGCTGTGTTAGTTATTTGTACCAGCTTCATCCTGAAATTAACACTTCTGGGCCTCAAACTTTACAGTAGAATGTCAGAAATAATAACTTTTCCATACAAATGAAATAGCAAAAGGTCAAAAACAAGGTTTACTACATTACAAAAATAACAAGAAAATGCTTGCTTTTATCTCCCTGGAGTTTAACTTTAAAGTCTTCACAGTTTATTCTATAGGTGCCGTAACCACAACTATTATTTATTTAATTAGTGTAGTACATTATTTCCACACTTTTTTTTGTTTTCTTGCGAGGGCATAACTAAGAATCACAGGGCCCCATAGCAAAATTTGGATGGTGGGACGAACGTGGCTAACTTTCTCTGTAGCAGCTGGCAGTGTCAACTGTGACAAAATGTGTTATTGATCTTAATATAAAGTATACCTAAAACATAGTCAGACTACAAGGGGCCAGTGTTGTACATAAAAGATACAGATGTAGTAACAATAACCAAATTACCCAAATAAAACCGTCTTTAAACTCACACTTCTTTAAACTCTTTTGTGAAACTAAAAAACTCAGCTATCCTATAAGGTTTTAACTGAGGATAATCTGAAATTTTTGACAGCATTAGAAATACAGGGTTAATTTTACTCTGTGGCAGAATTCTGAGGGCAATAATTCTACACTGCTAAGACAGATAAGCGAATGCTTCTTGCTGCACAAAGCAGGATCTGTGGCGTGGGCGGGGCCTGAACATGGCGGCAGGGGAGAGCTCAATGTAGGAGCTCGTGGACGGAGCTCCGTTGTCTGACCTCCCCAAGCCTCCAAGCCTATCCCCTTAGGCATGTTAGAGCCCTGCGGTGTGGGACTTACCTGGCCTGACGGCTCCCGGTGGAGGAGAGGTTGATGCAGGCGACGGGAGAGAGAGGAGCGGCTGGAGACTGGCAGAGATAGAGTCCCTGGACGCTGGGAGACGAAGGGGGCCGGCGCGATCACGTGACCGGCCGCAAGGCACCACTGGGAGATCGGGAAGCCGGCCGGCGTTTTGCAGTGAGAGAGCAACGCCGACCTGTTTGCCGGTGGCCGACACATTCTCCCCCTATCCCCCTGATACCCCTTGAGCCTACTCAGACCTGGACACGGAGTCTGAAGAGACCCTGGGGAGTTCCCCCCCATGAATGGACCCTCAGAGGAACTGAGCGAGAAGGCACTCACTGGAAGAGGACATAGGAGGAGGGTGAGTGATTATGAATGAACTTTTTGACTTGCATTTGAGGAACTATTGTGCTGACCCCCAAGAAATAGAGTGTAAGTGAAAGGGGGGACCCCTGGAGACTGTACAAAAGGTGGAAGAGGTTCGCAGAAAGAAGAAGAGAGGCTTAAGGGGAAGGAGAGGGAGAGGAGGGAAGGAAGAAGAGGAAAAAAAAAGAAAAAGGAAAACCAGCAGGGGGACAGGGCAGAGATTTGAAAGTTTAAAGAATTATTTCCCCTCCCTACCCACGAATTTATAAAGGAGTATAAGAAGGATAAGTGCCACAGAGAAAAATGAAAAATAAAAATGTAAAAAAGGAAGTGGGCTTAAAGGGTCCCAGACTGGTACAATTAAAAAATACACATCCCAAGGAAACGTAACCCCAGAAAGACCCCAGAGCAGGACTGAAAAAGGAGAAGCAGATCTTAGTATGGAAAGAAGTCCTAGAGTATCATTAGGCCTTGATACTAGTAATCAGCAAATATCAGGCAATATAGAGATGGAAAAAGATCTACAAATACCTAATAAAAAAGAAATGGCAGAAATGTTTAAAGAACTGGAGAAAACAATAAAACAAGAAATGGTAAATAACCGCAGTGATCTGGGACACCTGTTGGAAAGAGTTGAGGAAACGGAGGAGAAAGTTAAAGGTCAGACCCAGGCTATCTCTCTGAACTTGAAAAAGAACTAACTAATATAGGGAAAGCCCAAGAAAAACTGTTATATAAGGTTGAGATACAAGAAAACAAAGACAGGAAGAGAAACATCTTGATACGTGGGGTCCCAGAAAACTCAAAGGGAGAAAGTCTGCAAGAGGTGGTTTGTAAAATATTTAACACTATAACAGACAGCTCTGAAATGGAAAGGTCTAAAATAGAAGGAACCTTTAGAAAAGGAAAAATTCAGAGAAATCTGGGGAAAGAAAGGCCGAGAGATATACTAGTTAAATTCTATGAACTTCAGGATAAAGAAAAAATCTGGAAGAAGACCAAGGGAAAATCAGTAATTAAGTATGAAGGAGGAGACATACAGATATATGCAGATCTGGCTCCAGAGACTTTGTGGAGAAGGAGAACTTTGAGACCCCTATTGGAAAGGTTGAAAGAACAAAATGTGCAATATAGATGGGGGACTCCCGAATGCTTAATAGGATGGAAAAATGGACTACAGCATACCTCAGGTTTCCAGAAGATTTGAAAAATTTCTGTGACAGTTTAAAAATCCAAAGAATGGAAATTCCTGGCTGGGAAGAAGAACAATGGGAAAATAGAACGAAGAGAAAAGAGGACTGGCAATATGTGGGGGGGGGGGGGGGAGGTGGAGGGGAGGGGAGAGGGGGGAGAGGGATGGAGGAAGAGAAATAGGTTTTTTTTTTTTTTTTTCTCTCCTTTATCTTTTTCTATCCTCACCCTACCGTCCTCGTTTTTTTTTTTTTTTCTGTGCCTGTGATAAATCTGGGTGGGACTTGGGGAGTTATGGGGAGGTTAGACAAGGGGAAAGTTGTCCATGGACGGAGGACAGTCAAAAAAGTGGACTTTATAATCCATAAATGATTAGTAGGCAAATGTTAGGCCTAAAAAGAGGGGGGGGGGAGGGGAGGGGGGGGGGAGGGAGGGGTTGGAAGGTTGGAAGGGTGGGAAATGGGGGTTGTTTTTTTCTGCAAGATAAAAGACGATATAAAAGCAAGTGAGAAGGGAGAAGGAGAGAGAGGAGAGGAAGGGAGGAGAAGAGGAAATGAGAAAAGGAGAGAGAAATGAAAAATATAGATGGAGGAGAAAAGAGGAAATTTAAGGAAGATGGAAGAGATTCAGTTTATAACATATAATATAAATGGGTTGAACTGCCCTGGGAAAAGATATAGATTATTTAAAGAATTACACCATAGAGCTGCCTCAGTGATATTTCTACAGGAGACACATCTTGAGATAAAATCAAATGTTAGGCTGAGGTCTAGAAATCACCCAACATGGTACTATGCAGATTCCCCGGTTAAAAGAGCAAAAGGGGTAGCAATAGGTTTGGCAAAGAATATTAGGTTTGAGTTGGAAGATAGAAAAACAGATCCAGATGGGAGATTTTTGTTTTTAAAGGGCAAGTTACAGGAGATTGAGTGTACACTGGCCAATATCTACTGTCCTAATAAAAAACCGGAGGAGTATCTGAAAAAAGTGTTGAGGAAGTTGATGGACTTTAAAAAAGGACGTCTGATCCTGGCAGGGGATTTTAACTTTTGTATGGACCCACAAAGAGACGCCACCTCCCATATAAAGACAGAAGGAAGTAGGGCCCTGAAATTATTGAAAAAAGAATTACACATTAGTCAATTGGTAGATGCCTGGAGAATTACACATATGCAAGATAGAGATTATACTTTCTTCTCAAATATGCATAAGAGATATTCAAGATTAGATCATATATTAATAGAACATCAATTAATTGACCATCTGATCCAGGTAGAAATAGAGACAATATCTTTATCAGATCACGCCCCAGTTATTATGAAAATGGAATGGGGGAGGAGGAAAATCAGAGGGCTGGGATGGAAATTGAATGAGACACTCTTAGTGGAAAAGGAAATAGCTCAGAAAAAAGGTGGAGGAGATTGAACGCTTTTTTTAAGGAGAATGAGACAGGGGAGGTGTCAATGGCCACAGTGTGGGAGTCCCATAAAGCGTATATAAGAGGAATATTAATGGCGATTGGGCCAAGAAAGAAAAAAGAAAGAAGGGAGAAAATGAATGAGCTCTTAGAAGAAATAGGTAAATTAGAACAAATACATAAGAATAGAATAACAAAAGAAATAGAGCTGAAGTTAAAAAAAAAGAAAGAAGAATTGAAAGAAATGATAGAAGAGGAGAGGAGAAAAGTATATAATAGAGTTTTGAGTGAGAGATATATAGATGGGGAGAAAGACCTGGAAAGTATCTGATGAGAGCCCTGAGGAAAAAGAAAAATAGAAATTATATAGAAAAAATAAAAGATGCTAAAGGAAACCTGATGCATTCAAATAAAGATATCATCAAAGCCTTCATAGAATATTACAGGAAACTGTACAATATAAGCCCCCTGGAAGGTTCAGAAACTATAGACAGTGAGAAGAACCAAAAAAGAAAGAAATATTTGGAAACGGCTGGGTTACTAAAATTAAGCGAGGATCAACTAAACTCCCTAGATGCAGATATCTCACAGGACGAAATAAAATTAGCATTGAAGGGGACAGTGTCGGGGAAAAGTCCAGGACCTGATGGATATACAGTGAGATATTATAAAAAATTTAGTGAAATTTTAGTACCAAAACTTAAAAAATTACATGAATGCACTAGGTCAGTGGTCGGCAAGCCGCGGCTCGCGAGCCACATGCGGCTCTTTACCCAGTCTAATGCGGCTCATTCTGTGTGCCGGGCGCCTGCTCCCCTCCCTCCTCTCGGTCGGCCGCTCCCCTGCCTCCTCTCGGTTGGCAGCCCCAAAAGTCCGCGCGGATTTTAACGGCTTGCGGATGTGGCTGTCAGGATGTGTGTAGGCAAAGGGCAGCGTGCCGAACGTGAGGGGAGGGGAGCTAAGGCTCCTCTCAATGGTCCGCCCTGAAGACCCGAACGGCGCGGGAAGACAGCGAGAGGAACGCAAAAGGTAAGTGAATTGACACGGGGGACTTGGCTTACTAGAAGGGGGGGGGGGGAATAGTACTGTGGGGGATGAAATACTATATGAGGGATGAATTACTTTATGATGGGAATGAAATACTATATGGGGGGATGAAATACTATATGGGGGATGAATTACTATATCAGGGGATGAATTACTATATGAGGGATGAAATACTATATGGGGGGATGAAATACTATATGGGGGGATGAAATACTATATGGGGGGATGAATTACTATATGAGGGATGAAATACTATATGGGGGGATGAAATACTATATGAGGGATGAAATACTATATGGGGGATGAATTACTATATGAGGGATGAATTACTGTATGAGGGATGAAATACTATATGGGGGGATGAAATACTATACGGGATGAAAATACTATATGAGGGGATGAAATACTATATGGGGGATGAAATACTATATGGGGGATGAAATACTATATGAGGGATGAAAAATACATATATGGAGTTGATGAAATACTATATGAGGGATGAATTATATATGAGGGATCAAAAAATATGGGGGGATGAAATACTATATGGGGGGATGAAATACTATATGGGGGGATGAAATACTATATGAGGGATGAATTACTATATTGGGGGGATGAAATACTATATGAGGGATGAAATTACTATATGAGGGATGAAATACTATATGAGGGATGAAATACTATATGGGGGGATGAAATACTATATGAGGGATGAAATACTATATGGGGGATGAAATACTATATGAGGGATGAAATACTATATGAGGGATCCCACTGAATTACTATATGGGGGATGAAATACTATATGAGGGATGAAATACTATATGGGGATGAAAATACTATATGGGGGATGAAATACTATACGGGGGATGAAATACTATACGGGGGATGAAAACTAAACGAGGGATGAAATACTATACGGGGGATGAATTGCCTATGGGGGATGAATTACTATATGGGGGAAAATTACTATGGGGGATGAATTACTATATGGAGGATGAATTACTATATGGGGGATGAATTACTATATGGGGGATGAATTACTACGGGGGGATGAATTACTATGGGGGATGAATTACACTATGGGGATGAATTACACTATGGGGGATGAATTACTATATGGGGGATGAATTACTATGGGGGATGAATTACTATATGGGAGATGTATTTTCAGTTTTAAAAATGTGGCTCTCAAAATTAAATTTCAATCATGGTTTTGGCGTCAGATTTGGCTCAGTTGAAAAAAAAGGTTGCCCACCACTGCACTAGGTGGAGAGATGGAAGTAAGAAGAGAATCATTACAAGCCCAACTCGTGCTCATCCAAAAAAGAGGGAAAAGATCCCTCTCAGTGTTCGAGCTACAGACCTATTTCACTATTGAACACAGACACTAAGTTGTATGCAAAGGTCCTATCAAATAGATTGAAAGAGCTAATGCCTGAATGGATACATGAGGATCAGGTGGGCTTTGTTCCAGGGAGGGAGAGTAAAGACAATGGGGTACGATCACTGATGCTAATCCAAAAGAGTAAAAAGGGAAAAGAACCGGTGGTGTTACTCTCTATAGATGCTGAAAAAGCGTTTGACAGAGTGAACTGGAGATTCATGATGGATACTCTGGAAGCCTTGGGAATTGGGTCTAGGATGAGAGAGTGGATAGGAAAGCTGTACAGATACCCCTCTGTGGTTACTGGGGTAAATGGGGAGAGGTCAGAACCCATTGAGATGTCAAACGGAACAAGACAGGGATGCCCATTGTCCCCATTGTTGTATGTTATATCACTAGAACCATTATTGTCAACAATAAGGCTGAATAGAGATGTAAAAAGGAATCCTGATAGGAGATACAGAACATAAAGTTGCTGCTTTCACAGACGACTTGCTGTTCTACGTAGGAAATCCCAGGATAACACTTCCAAATTTAATGAAGTCATTAAAGGAGTATGGAGAACTATCAAAATGGAGATTCTAAATATAAACATCTTAAAAAATGAAAAAGAAAAAAAAGATACAAAAGGAATTTCCCTTTAAATGGAAAGATAGGGATATAAAATATCTAGGAGTAAAACTTACAGCCTCACACAAACATCTATATAAATTAAACTATATTTCATTGATTAATGAGATTAGAGACGAGTTAAAAAGATTGGAGGGAGGAACCCCGACATGGATGGGCCGTATTAATCTGTAAAAAATGGTAATAGTACCAAAAAATTATATATAGATACCAAATGATCCCAATTAAACTCCCAGAGATTTTTTTTTAAATAATTAAGAAACTGATAACAAAATACATATGGAGGAATAAAAAACCAAGACTGTCATACGAACTGTTAAGTAGGAGGGAAAGAAAGAGGTGGTTTAGGGCTCCCAGACTTTAAAAGATATTACAAAGCAGTAATATTGGTAAGAACCATAGATTGGATATTTAATTATAAAAAAAGCTGGGTGAGAATAGAGAATGAACTCATTGGAATAGACTTGGGAAGAATGATATGGGTGCCAACACAGTATAGGGGTTTAAATGATAATGTAAATACATACACTTTGAATGTTTTAAAGATTTGGGATAATCTACACAGAAGTATGAAATGGACTTTTAATTCCACACTGATTCCACTAAAAAACACAGAGTTTTTTCCCCCAGGCAGAGAAGAAATAGGAGGGAGGTGGTTTAAAAAAGACAAGGTGCAATTAGGAGATATTTTGGTGGGGGATGAAATAGGATCATTTGCGAATTGAATTGAAAAAAAAAGAGGGAGAGATCTTCACTAAACTAGATGAATGGCCGTATTTCCAATTGAGGTGTTTTGTTAGAAGTCTGCCAAGACCTTTAAGGACAAGAGACAATTGGAACTTGTTCGAAAAGGTATTGGGAACACAAGGTGATGGGAAACACGGGATTGCTAGAGTTTATAAAAATACTCACTGAATTAGACACAAACACAAAGCCAACATATATAACAAAATGGGAAATGGATATGGGAGTTGTGATAGATGAGGAAAAGCAGAGGAGAATGTATAGATTAACTCACGAGAACGTTTCTATGAGAGAGAAGTAGAGATGAACTATAAGTGTTTGACAAGATGGCACATTTCACCAAAAGTAGAAAATAAGATGTGTGGAGAGAGTTCACTGTTGTGTTGGAGGGGATGTGCAGAAATAGACATAGATCTAGACCCAGAAGTATGCATTTTGCATATCACAGATATAACAGTAAATAAATATAAAAAATCAGGATATGGTACTATATAAAAGCCCTGATACCCAAGTTCTGGCGGCGAATAGAGGCACCAAGGGAAGAGGACTGGATTGAAAGAGTTGAGCAGATCAAAAAGATGGAAAGGTTGTGTCATACCCAAGAAGATAAGATGGAGGTTTACTATGGGAAATGGGAGAACTGGGAAAAAACTAGATTATATATGAAGTATAGGAAAGAATAAAGAAAACAACAGAAAAATTTCACTTGCTGATATAAGAAGACGCAGAGAAAAGGTAGAATAGGCAGATGGGATATGGGGTGGGGGCGGAGGTGGGAGGGAAATGTATCATAGAGTATATAAAGTAGAAATGTTGGCAGAAAAAAAAAAGTAAAAAAAAAAAAAAAAAGAAAGCAGGATCTGTGGCTACTTCCAATCCTCAAATCTGACCTCAACCCTTCTAAACTGAAAACTTCACAGTTCAGATTTCCTTAACTGCCTCCCTATTGGGGGCCCCCTCCAACCCCAGGCTCTGTAGCAGCCATGAGGGCTTCTATGACTATTGTTACGCCACTGTTTCCTTGCTATTAATCATTCTATTGACTTCATGTCTGTCCTGGGTTCCATGGAAAAAATACAAGTAATAGGTACACTATCCAAGAAAAAACAGTACTAATGGATCACATATAACTGTATAGCAATCTCATTACTAAATTAAACCATACAGAATCTGTGCTATTACATGTTTCACACATGACAATTTCTCATAGACTATACACTATCCAGTAGTGTAGAGACCCTCATTATCTTCACACATGTTTAAATTGCTTGGCATTTCCACAATGTAGATCAGTACTGTATGTGATAAATGTGCAAGGAAAAATTAAGTGTTGCTTTTAATATAAGTAAAGTTCAGGCTCTGTTCACTCCTTATATCTTCTACCTCTTTTACTTTAACCCTGTTGAGAAGTGGAGCTATGGTTCACAGCCCATTTAGACATATTTATTCAGGTTATGCTAACTGAAAAAGGATTAAAATAAAAAAACTTTCAAATGACAGTATATAAATAATGACCAATAACACAAAAAAAGGAAAAAAAAAAACACAAATCCAAAGAAGACTAAATGATTTAAACTACCCTAAATACACCCAAACCAAACACACCCTTTAAAAGAGAAGATAATTTTCCTTCTAGCAAATTCTGCCTAAGCATCTCAAAGAAAAAAACTGTGAGTTTTTGCTTTGGAAAAATATCACATAGGTGAAATCACAGCAATATGAATCCCATCAAAATTGCTCCACTTATACTTACACTTCAAATAAAGCACAACTTTCTGGAATATACAGTATATCCAAAAGAGGAAACAATTACTGTCGTCTGATTACAGATGAAAAATGTTTCTACAAAGTTTTGGGTATGCAGGAAGCGCAGTCAGTTCTGAATTTGGTTGTTGATGTCCACATAACTGCTATTTTTGATTCTGGCTGGAACTTTCCTTTTTCTATTGATAAATAAAGCCCTTAGTTGACCACTTACCAAATCTCTAAAGCTGCAGCAAGAATGGAGGCATCAGGAATAGTCCCTGGTTCACAGCAGTTGAGGAGGAACTGGAATCGCTTCATTCCTTGTCTTATGGCTCCCAGATTGACCACATTTTTACTTTTTCCAGCCTCCAGATGAGCTATGCCATGGTCATCATAGCTGTGACATCCTGGAGAATGCAAAGGTGGGAGGAAAGAAGGGGAAAGAGCACAAGATCTCACAAATAAAAAAGCCAATTTTGAACCCCGAAACACTGGATTTCCCCAGAATTCTAATCTAATGCGTGGTCTGAAGCTAAGCGCACATGGTGAAATCACCCACAACACCCAGCGTATTATGGGGTACATGTATACACAATGATCTTTCAAGGTATTCCACACACCGTTGCCTTAAAAATGACAGTTTTCATATCTACTGGGATCCACACAATCCCTGTGGCTTCTTATATTAGCATATATAAAAGTTTGTTTACATGAAAATACAATTAAAGCATTGCAGCCAACAGAACACAAGCAGCGTAATCACTTGTGATCAAAGCTAGGGTGTGGAATAGCTTATAAAAATTAATACATTATCCCTAATTCAGCTTGGCTTAAACCAGTGTAGAAATAATTTAACTTTTGTTCTCTGTAGTTTGCACATAGGGATTGGAATAACACTGGGTAAACTAATCTGCTTATTAACTCAGCTATTTTAAAGCATTCATCAATCAATTGCTGAATAATGTTCATGTTTGTTAAGCATCTACCATCTGCTGTTTTTTCTCGATTGAATAGACTTTAATTAAAGGCAAATACATGTTTTCAAGTTGCATCAGTTTTCCAATGTTAGACATTTCTAATGAGGAGATTCATATGCGAAATAAGCAGAACTGTACTGTATATTGAATCAATCAGTAACTGCAGCATTCACCTACAATATATTTGCGTTCTGAATCTATCTATTCCATCTACCAACTAAACACTAAACAAAGAAGTTTGCTATACTGTATAATATTGAAAAGTATTTTTCTGGAGTCAGAAATAGTAACATGGTATTGCACAGTAGGGAGGTGTAATCGACATCCTCACATCTCTACATAGTACACATATACTGTATATTATATAAAATGTATAATATATCAGTCGGTAGCTAAGACAGTAGAGCAGAATTAAGAAGAAACGTGGTCGACATTTATCACTTTTGACATAGTAGTGGAGATGAGGAGCACTTTTGTTTGTGATTAGGCATAAAGTTATAAAGATCTGCATAAGTTGCAATCTGGTTTAAAGAAACTGACTCTTGGTTCCTGGGAAAAATATGCTTGAAGAGGCAAGAAAAGAGAACACAAATTTTAGATAATGTCCAAAAAAAGATTATTTATCTATATATTGAGTGAAGAATAACATCAACAGTATTTTGGGGGATCCAAAAGGCCCCCTTTTCAGGGCTTGAGATTGTACAAAGTCTGAACTATAACTTAGTGTGATATTTCAGAAGCATTAGTACTGGATAACAAGCCAGCTCCCAGTCTCTGGTTTGATAGGTTATTATCCAGCACATTGTTTTTAGAAAAATTACATCAAGCAACAGTCAAGACTCTCTATAATCTCAAGTCTTGGTGAAGGGGACTCCTTTGAACCCCCAAAATGCTTTGGATGTTTTAACTGGATATAATAATACATTAATTCAATCTGGACATTATCTACATCTGTCGCTCTATTTTCGTTGCTGTCCAAGCAAGTTATACCTTCTTAAGCACTTCTAATCCCCTATGATCAAAACAGGTTCACTGAGTCATTTCTAATGTTTTTCGACCTGTTGTATATATAAAAGTTAACACATGATAAAAACTACAGTAACAAATGTGAGCAGAGTACAACACTTCACAAAGCACGTCACCACGAGAGCAGAGAGACAGAGATTGAATGCAGCCAAAGGCAGTGTCCTGAGGTCAGCTCCATCACAACCATCATCTGCCGAGAACCCCATGTCAAACAAAAGTCTTCAACTCTGCCCATCTCAGTACAGTGACTCAAAAACATATCAGCATATGTGTACCCCAGTATATGGTATCAATCTGCTTAAAGGATATTCCAAATTTCTTCATTTAGAGTAAGGCTAAAGTGAATATTTCAGTAGGGTACACAGTATTAAGGCTAAATTGGCAATTAGCCATAAACATGACAAATAGGTTGTGTTCACGTTTACCATCACAGCCCCTTATAGCTTGCTTTACTCATGCATCCATCATTTCACTGAGTATATTAACAATGTTCTTTTCCTTAATAGCCTCACCATTTTCTTATTCTCTATGATGAATATCAATGCTGTACATGAATACAGTTTTTCAGCAGACTTATCACATTATTATAATCTCAGTATAACAGTGCTGATGCAAGAAGGACAGTGTCTTATTTTGGAAATGGTTATGCAGATGCTGGTCATGCAAACACAGAAGAAAAGAGATAATTGAAACAAGGTATCCGGGTGGAATTTTTGTCTTATTAAAATGCTTTGGAGGAGTCATAACAAAAATATATTTGTATAAAATAGACAACTAAAAATAATAGTATGAATTAGGAGTCCATAATATATGGAACTGATTCTGGAATGCAAATTTTGGGATACTGGGCATCCAAATTTTGATAAATTTGTGCTGGTAAATTAAAGAAAGCATGCCGTGAAATGGAGGAAAGATTTTGTGAGGGATGTTTTCTGAAACATGCCGTTTGGTCATTTCCAAATTTCATGTGTCAAAAATGCACCGTCACCCAATTATTCAGCAATTAAGGCAAATGATTTGAGAGTACAGGCTTGTGCTTAAAAACACAGTCCTATAAATGAGTCACCGAGGCTAGCAGAATATTTACAATGCCTCCATAGACTTGTTTGGTACTATTAGCATCATAGATTAAGCATTGACCTGAATCAGATAATTGCTCTGTTTCTTTTCAAACAGGTAACAGATGCATTTTGAAACACAATTGATTTTTTTTCATTCAGTGAAGCTATGGTGTTATTTCATGAGAATTAAGGAAAGAAATGGAAATGTAAAAGATAGGATAGATGGGTGGATTGAATAAGTTTGCTGGAGATTCTGTGAAAGAATTATGAGAAATAGGTATTGTTATGGGTCACATTTTGCTAATGAAGGAGGTTGCAGTGAATCTGTTGCAAGTCACCTCAGCAGCAAAAGTGTTAAAAATTTCAATGGAAGAAGGTAAAATAATTGTCAAGGAACAGAAAAAAGAGAACCCTGATATCTAACCATCTTTTTCTTCTGTGTGATGAAGCCTGGATGTATTCCTTCTGCTTGAGCGCCATTTACCAAGACGCTTGAAAAAATTTTCTTCTTCATCTCGCCCGCCATCCATTCCTGATCCTGGCCCAGCTTCAGACAGCTTTACAGCACTAGTAAATTTCACCTACACCAAGAAGAAGCAAGAGTATACTTACGTGATTAGGACTCGCTCAGAAAAAAAGTTAACCAAGTAGTCATGACTGTTAACTGAATACATGTATTTAAAAACCAGCTACTCGCTTTAATCATTTAGCATTCTGTAACTGTGGCTTGAACATTTCATTTTAAAGCTGAACTCCAGGCAGATATAAAAGACCCAAATTAATGCAGCTCTGTATTCATTATTAAATCATTACATGTATGATTTAAATGCAAGCTGTGTAAGTACCTGCATTTGACTTTTGCATATCAGCCTCTTGCAATCCAGTGTACAGCAGAGGTAATGTTGATGGCAAGTCAAAATTGAACTAAGCTTAAATCCACTCCCACCTCCATTCTATCTACCCTGTGAAAGGAAAGATGCCTATACTTACCTATTCTGAAGTCACTCCAGTCTGATCACATGATCTCTCCAGCGCCGGCTTCAGTGTAGAGGAAAGATCGCCAACAACGGGCTGCAGAACCTGGGAGGTGATATCACCCATAGGCTTACTATGGGGCATTTGTTGTCGGCTATTCCTCCTCTACACTGAAGCTTGCACTGGAAGCCGATCATGTGAACAGACCAGAGCGACTTCAGAATAGGTAAGTATAGACATGTTTCCTTTTGCAACGTATTAAGAATAAGCTTAGAATAGTAGTGGGAGTTTAAGCTTAGTTAGGTTTTGACTTTCCTTCCAATTTAAGAATGGAAGAGGGGGGAGCAACACAAGGAACCAATCGGTTGTGCTGCAGTGCCGATGTGCTAAAAAAGAGATATGCTGATAGAAGAAGACCATAGTGAAATAGTCTGTTGCTGATTCCTTCACTGTCCAATCACGTGTTGGGGGAGGGACTACATGCGTAGGTATTACTTAAAGTTGCAAACAGCTTACATAAAATATGAATGAAGCATATCCCTCTATAGTGTGTACCTGTCTGAATCCAGAGCAGTGTCATTTTTTTCTGCTGTCTCGTTCTGAGTCACTTCTGACAAGTTTCCTGACACCCTGAGAAAAAAAGGTGACGGGGAGCTCCAGCACACAGCCTGTGATTGACAGACTCAGCTCTGTTCCTGTGTGCTGTGTGTGTGTGTGTGTGTGTGGGGGGGGGGGGGGTTGTTTCTTCCCTCCAATCTGCTCTCAGCTTTCAAAGCTCAGGCAAGCTGTATAAATTCTGACTTTTAACAGCTGTAGAGAAGGGAGGGCTGCAGATAAAAAGGTATAGCTTATGTAGGAGGACTTTTTTAAATCTCTGTGTATCCTGTGAGGTAAGTCACTTCACTGGGTATATGTAGGGGTTTATAACTACATACAAAACAGGTCTGTGCTGCATAGCAAAGCTGCTGCTAACTGTTAATTTAACCACTTGCCCTCCTGAGGATTTCTCCCATTTCCTGACCAGGCCATTTTTTGCAGTACTTTAACTGGCAATTGCGCGGTCATGCAACGCTGCACCCAAATAAAATTTTCATCCTTTTTTCCCATGGATTGAGCTTTCTTTCAGTGGTAATTGATTGTTTTTTATTTTTTGAGAAAAATCAAAAGTTAAATAGGGGCTGTATACATTCCTTTTACTCCCATAAAGAACAAAGGGAATGATGGAGTGTGAAGCCTGTTTTGCTGCACTCAGTGTAGGTTTGTTGCATAAGGTTGTTGTGATTCACAACTGCACTCACTTCACAGCAGTTTACCATGAATGGATTTATTTACACGCACAAATCCATCCATAAATGTTTAAAAAAGGAAATAATTGATACAATATAAGAGTATAAAATTATAGACAAAATTGTAAAATAAATTAAATAAATAAATATGACAATTAAACAAAATCATTTTATGCTGTTTCAACTTTTTTACAACTATAAAGCTGCATTCACACCTAATTCTGGAGCTTTTTATTCTTTGCACATTTTTTCAGGTGTTT